TTCCAAGTCATTACTTATTGTTATTTAATATTCTGTAAACTGTTTTATAGAAAGCAGGCATGGTGTGTTTCTCTCCTTAGAGATTAAGCTGAACGTTATTATATTTACTATATCAGGCATGGGCAACAAGAGACTCTCCATACGTTTTTAATCTCTATTTCCCATGGTTTTCCCCTTAGCTCATTTATTTAAATGTTTACTATCTTGACTTCCATTGATAATGCAATAAACAAGTAAATACCCTCAAGTGTTTTTCTTTAAAAAAACACTTGCTGGACAGTCTTTCTTATTTACAGTAAATGCATATTGCCAACAGTGGTAATTTTCTCTGTGTTGGATTGCAACTGAAATGTATGCTGTTAATTTGCCTTGTTGGAAGATAAACTGTATTATTATTTCTCTGCTTGACTGCGTTTTGTTGTATCCAGAGCACTAAAGCACAGTATGATTGATATTAATAGATGGTGGTCATATGTACGATGAATACATGCAGTTCAGCTGCAGTCTGTGAATATCCTTTGCAGTCCATTGGTTTGAAAAATGTTTGCTTATTACCTACTTGCACATGTTCATTCCCTTAGACTGGAAAGAAGAGTATTATGTTCTTCTTTTTAAATTTAGATACATTTACGTGCTTTAATGGAGGTGAGTGTATGCACTGGCAGATGTGTGACTGTAGCCGATACAATGCAACTGGCTCAAGATGTCAGATAGGTGAGTAGAAAATATATTGATGTAATGCACACCATGTACTGGCATGACCAAAGATTATAAACTGGATTTAACTTTTCAAACCAAATGCAATTTCCTAAAGGATATTAAAGTGTAGCTTGTAGTGTTGCAAATTATTCTGAAGTACAGTAGAAAGTGAAAAAGATGGTGTCTTTGTGTAACATAACACTTATGTACATTTCCTTCCCTCTTTTGGTGTACGTTTTTATCATCATCACTCCCTTCAGAAATACTGTAATGCAAACACTGCCAAGATATACTGTTTCTGAATTGTTAAATTCCACACCAATCTTTTTCTGTCTTGCCACAGTACACAACACAGGAGCAGAACGAGACAACATTTGCCGGACGTGGGGACAATATCATTATGAAACCTTTGATGGGCTCTACTACTTTTTCTCTGGGAAATCTACATACTGTCTTGTCAGACAGAGTGAACTGGATGAACAGAGCTTTTCCATACAAGTGAGAGATTAAAGTTCATTTCAAATAAAATAAAACTTATTTAAAATAAATGTGAACTTTTCATGTATTCTTTTCCAAAGGTGATGAAACACTGGTTGAAATCATGTTCCTTAGCAAAGTAAGTCCCGACTAGAGTCGACTCATTGAATCAATGGGGATTTGTTGAGTCAACTCTGCTGTAGGTTTCATTGATTTAAATGGGCTTGCAATTTGCTTTGCTAAATGAGAGCAAGCCCATTTGAATAAATGGAACCTCTGGAAGAGTTGAGTCACTGATTAATGGGCCTACTCTAGTGCAACTAACCTTTTTGAGCAACAGGATTTTGGCCACTGGGTGACACTGTTGCTTCTCTTGGATCTAGACTGAAAAAATACTGTGAACAGACAATATAAATGAGGTTGCTTGCATCATTGGAAAAGCAGACTCTCAGCATGTTTCAGAGGATATAGGAAGAAATTAAGGGAGTACAGCTCTTAAAAGGCTAGTGGGTTAAAGGATGTCCATACATGGAAGTAAAATATTTCTGTGTCAAGGGTTGCAGATTTTAATTATTAGTAGGAAAATCTAATGCCTCACGAAGTGCAGCCATGAAGGATTTCTCAAGCTTTGATAGTGTTTTTGTTGGGGGAAGGACTATCTGGAAACACTTATATTCATACTGAAGATTGCATGTGACCTTTTGGAACACAAGTTTATGGTAAACTAAATAAAGGGGGATTGCAAGGCATGGAGTGTTCTGATAGAATTATGTCACGTCTCACTCATACTATACAAGGATTTAATTTTTGTTTGAACTTGTTGTCATGCAATGCAATTCCACTATTATTGAAATATTAATCTATCCCTTATTTTGCAGGTCCATAATGATCCAGAATGCACATCATCTCCCTATACCTGTAAACGGTCCATAAGTTTATACTTTTCTGGAGATGAAGAAATTAGATTAAGTAGTGAGGTCATCTATAAAGGAATGAGGTAAATTATAAATATATTAACATATTCTGTAGTGGTTTTAATTTGACGGATCATTTTTGCATGTAGAAATATAACCACCCTTATTGAGTCCTAATACCTCCTGGCTTGATTAGTCCAGGCATCAAATAGACATGGAGGAGGAGGATGATACTAGCATTTACATTTACTAGTATTCATGATTATAATTCATTTGGCGATTAATGGATCAATCCTGGATTGAATGAGGAATAAGATGACATTGATGTACAGTCACAGTGCTGTAAGTTTGTGTCAGAAGTATTCATGATTATAATTCATTTGGCGATTAATGGATCAATCCTGGATTGAATGAGGAATAAGATGACATTGATGTACAGTCACAGTGCTGTGAGTTTGTGTCAGACACGATGTGGTGAGGGAAAACACCTATGCCAGCTGCAGTATAGCGTACCTGAGGGGCCTGAGTTGTCTTGGAGAAACAAAGATGACTTGATTTGGAAGCACCAAGGCAAGCCAGGACCCTACTCCCACCTCTGGAATGATAGGGGAGGAAAAACAGCCAGTGGCAGCTCTACATTTGTGCTTTCCTGGGCAGTTACAAGGTGTACAAGAAGGGAGGTACCTAAAAATTTTATCATGTTTTGAGAGCCCTTAAGCACCCATGAGACGATTGATTGATTGATTGATTCCAAAGGGCACAACGGAAGACTTTTCAGTAAATACCATTATTTTTGTAACAGTTTTTTGGTGGGCCCATGGAACTATGGGGAGCTCTCCAAGGTCCAGAGTGACAATGTATAGTCATTGAATCTCTGGTGGATACCTACATCTGCACTTGTCAATGTCATAAGCAAGTGTGTATGTGGTAATTCTTCGTTAATAAGAGCATAATGAAAATTGGTATTAGATTAAAGTTTTGCAGCTGAGAACAGAGTTAAGCTTAAAATTCAAAAGGCAGACACTGTAATTGTTAGATAAATATGGTAATTGCTATCACCAGGATTGGAATGCAATGACTTTCCCCGTTTTTCTTTTATGGCAATGTTTATTTTGCTTCCTAGAATCCAGCTACCTTCTACCATAGGGAACATGTACATCCAAAGACTAGCTGGATATGTCATTGTTAGACACCAGTATGCATTCTCTCTGGCTTGGGATGGTACATCTGCTGTTTATATTAAGATGGCTCCTGACTATGTGGGCAAAACCCATGGATTGTGTGGTAACAACAATGCTATTCTGCAAGATGAGCTTGCCACTAGTTATGGTGAGTACTGCACCAAATTTACTGCAGTATAACATGTTCAGTTGATGATTGTTATTTGTGGTCCTATGTAAGTACAGGCAGTAGACACATTAGTAGTATTTAGGTACACATACATTAAAAGTTAAAGGAAATAAAGGGTACCTGAAGATTTAATTAGTTTAAATCAGGCACACAAAAGACAATTGTGTTCTATTTTGTAGTAACTGGTGTAATGAGGCATTCTAATATAAATGTTAATATAAAAAACAGGGGTTGTCTATAATACCAGTTCTTTCTAATGATAATGTGTACTAAAATGTGTTAATCCTTAATGCATTAACAGATTCATAGTGCATCAGCTTCTTCCAAGTTATAAACTGAATTAACCATTTACAGAGATTATTTTTTCTCTCTCAGTTTCTGAGTATATTTTGCAAGAGTGGCAGGAAATCTAGAACCCAAGAATTCCAACTAGAGTACCAGTTGTTTCAGCATTGCTTTCTATTTCTATCTTGGATGGCTATCTTGTTATTGTCCATACTATATATTGGCTAGATGCTTGGGGCACACTTTACATATTGGTGTAACATAACTACCTGAAATATCATTACTTTTTGTATAATTGGTACTGTTTACTTGCTACGTTGAAAACTTGTTTTTTCAAGGGAATTATAGCTACTTCTGTGGACATGATGGCGCTGTGGGCTAAACCGCAGAAGCCTGTGCTGCAGGGTCAGAAGACCAAGCAGTCGTGAGATCGAATCCACGCGATGGAGTGAGCTCCCGTCGCTTTGTCCCAGCTCCCGCCAACCTAGCGGTTCGAAAGCATGCAAATGCGAGTAGATAAATAGGTACCATCTCGGTGGGAAGGTAAACAGCGTTCCGTGTCTAAATCACACTGGCCATGTGACCACGGAAAGATTGTCTTCGGACAAACGCTGGCTCTATGGCTTGAAGAGCGGGATGAGCGCCGCCCCCTAGAGTCGGACACGACTGGACAAAAATTGTCAAGGGGAACCTTTACCTTTTATAGCTACTTCTAACCATTTTCAAAATATCTTTTTTGTAAATTAATAACAATGAAGCAGTGAAAAAACATGTTACTAACATGTTACTTTTAAAATAAGTAGTAATGACTAGTGCATTATTTCAAACAAGACAACAACTAGTGGCAGTCCATGACTTTTTAAAAATAACTTTCCATCCTCTGCTTTGGGTCATTTTTCCTGCAGACTTGTTCAGTGCAATGACTTTCTGCCATCCTCAGAGTCTGCAACAAGTGCAAAAAGCTTCTTGTTGAAAGTCAGGTTTGGTTTAAAGGGTGTCTCTAGTAGCAAACCCACAGGAATTTTAATCCCCCCCCCCCAGTGATCAAAAGCTTCACGGGCAGAGTGGCTAAGAACTCTTTTACTGTAATCTAATCCCAAATTGGTGAAGTAAGATTCAAATAATACAATCTGGACTAATGAAGGAAAGAGTACTGTACCAGTTAAGTTCTTTCCTTTCAGCTTAGGCTGTGCTAACATGACAGAACACGTGCGCAGAGAAATTAAATGACTTGCAATATCATTTGCCTCTGTCTGGGAGCAAGATAAAGAACTGTTCTCTCCACATCACAATACCTGTAATTTGTATAAACAAAAAATTGTTACTTGGTTAATTTATTGTGTACATTTATTCTGTTAAAGGTGTATATATTTTGATGGAGGAGTTTTTGTGTGTGTGATTGGTGCTTTTTTCTTCTGTGGGCTTTGTGGGGGGTGGTTGTTGCTGAGCGTTTCTCTTTTGCTGTTCTTCTTCTTGTGTTTTTGATGGATGTTTTGGTAAATGGGTGTCTCTGTGTGCCAGGTAGATGGTGGCTGGCTGGCTGGTTGCTGTCTTACCTCTTTTCAATTGGGCTATGCAAAGCCAGAGGGTTTACTATTCAGGGTGGGTGGCACTGAACTTTGGCTAGATGCTTGGGGCACACTTTACATATTGGTGTAACATAACTACCTGAAATATCATTACTTTTTGTATAATTGGTACCGTTTACTTGTTACATTGAAAACTTGCTTTTTCAAGGGAATTATAGCTACTTCTAACCATTTTCAAAATATCTTTTTGTAAATTAATAACAATGAAGCAGTGAAAAAACATGTTACTAACATGTTACTTTTAAAATAAGTAGTAATGACTAGTGCATTATTTCAAACAAGACAACAACTAGTGGCAGTCCATGACTTTTTAAAAATAACTTTCCATCCTCTGCTTTGGGTCATTTTTCCTGCAGACTTGTTCAGTGCAATGACTATCGGCCATCCTCAGAGACTGCATCAAGTGCAAAAAGCTTCTTGTTGAAAGTCAGGTTTGGTTAAAATGGTGTCTCTCGTAGCAAACCCACAGGAATTTTAATTACCCCCCCCCCTAAGAACTCTTTTACTGTAATCTAATCCCAAATTGGTGAAGTAAGATTCAAATAATACAATCTGGACTAATGAAGGAAAGAGTACTGTACCAGTTAAGTTCTTTCCTTTCAGCTTAGGCTGTGCTAACATGACAGAACACCTGCACAGAGAAATTAAATGCCTTGCAACATCATTTGCCTCTGTCTGGGAGCAAGATAAAGAACTGTTCTCTCCACATCACAATACCTGTAATTTGTATAAACAAAAAATTGTTACTTGGTTAATTTATTGTGTACATTTATTCTGTTAAAGGTGTATATATTTTGATGGAGGAGTTTTTGTGTGTGTGATTGGTGCTTTTTTCTTCTGTGGGCTTTGTGGGGGGTGGTTGTTGCTGAGCGTTTCTCTTTTGCTGTTCTTCTTCTTGTGTTTTTGATGGATGTTTTGGTAAATGGGTGTCTCTGTGTGCCAGGCAGATGGTGGCTGGCTGGCTGGTTGCTGTCTTACCTCTTTTCAATTGGACTATGCAAAGCCAGAGGGTTTACTATTCAGGGTGGGGGGCACTGAACTCATACTGTTGTTTTCTCTTTTCTCATGTACTCCTGCCTGCTTTTGGAGTACAGTGGGGTCTCTACTTAAGAACTTAATCCGTATTGGAAGGTGGTTCTCAAGTTGAAAAGTTCTTATGTTGAATCTGCATTTCCCATAGCTTCATTGAAAACCATTTGTTACATACAGCACTGATGTTGCCTGTCTGTCATGGGTTTGGAGGGAAAGTTCCATCCTATGGGGAGTGGAAGGCGGGACATCAGGAGGAGGGGCTGTACTGTATATATATGTGATGCGTGTGTGGAGAAGGGAGGAGACGCTGGGAAGAGACAAAGCAGCAGCTGGGAAGAAGAAGCTGGTGTGGGAGTCTGTGTGTCAGACAGGGTACTACTGTGTGTCAGAGCCCTGGTCTGTGTGACTTCTTATAGGGAATGGTTGGTGGCAGCTTAGTTAACGTGTGGCATATCCCAGTAGGTCTGGGTTTGTCACACCATTTAATTCGTATCTGCTCTTTTCCGTCCATAGAAACTACTGTAGATAGCTTCTCTGTTGCCCTGCCTCTCCTTTTTTGAAGTAGTTTTAAAGAGTTCTTTAAGACTTTTGAAGTGCCAGAAAAGACAAATGGGAAACAATGACATGAGCAGCCTGACAGAACCTTTCCCTTTCAATTGATTTGAGAGGCCTGGTATCTGAAAATACAAACATGAAAGTGAAAAAGGTACCTGTGAAAGAACCCAAACCAAAAGAAATATAATTTTTACTGTTAGCACAGCCCAGTAATCTGGCTTTAATATGCTTCGAACTAAGGGAAACTTAAGTAATTTGTCAAAATCTCATAGAAAACCTGAGTGGAAACAGGAATTTTTAAAGATATCCTTTAATGATGCAAGCATAGTAATATGCAAAATGAAAACTTCATCTGGACTTTAGAGTTAGATTAAATATTCAGTGTCCCAAACTGGAGGAGAGGCAAAATGCTATTTGGCAAGGCTTTCAGAAACAAACTGTTATTTACAATATGAATATCCAGCATTTATGTGCATTTTGTGCTTTGCCATAGGAAAAATTACAGAGGACATTGAAGAGTTTGTTGAAAGCTGGAGAGAGAGCCTTCCGCAAGAGAATATCCTCTCCAGGGATGCCTCCTTTAGTTATGAGCCACCCTGTCTGATTAAAACCCAAGCATTTCTACAGGTGGGCACGATAATAATTGTAAGAAAATTAACTGAAGGAAAAATTCTGATCCTTTATGTAAGACAGATATCACTTCTTTTTATTTACCCATGTTTGTACCCATATGCCCAATCTGCTCACTGCAGATTCTGTCTCCACCTTGCAATTGCATGTTCTTTTTTTTTTTTAAGGAAAGGTCTCAAACTGAGTTTATGAAATATATATTTTTATCATGCTTGAGGTATTTTTAATGCCTTCTCTAATTTCATCCTTTAATTATTCAGAAATTGTTATTTTACCTTTCAAAGCCTGCAGTCAGTGGGATTCTTGCAATATCTAGTACTAGAATTTAATCAGGTAATTCTTCCTGACTTGTATTAAAATCTGCAAAAGAGCTTTTGTCTCCATTGGCCTACAATAACAAAGAAAAATTCATTATAATTTAGCTATTGTAGGAAGATTGTATTTCAGTTTTGTTTCAGAAAACATACTACATTCTTTTTCCATTTCCTTCTTAGAGGGTGAAAAGAAACCACCTTTGCCGGTGCTCCTAGAGGAGAAAATATGCCTATGCTTATTTAAATAATGGCTGGATCCTATTATTGGGCCCACCAGTGAAAGTCCACCAGTGTAAACCTCAGTGGAGAATTGTCACTAGTTAAAAATTCACTGGTTGTATATCTTACCACATGCTGTCATGTGAGATTTACACTGTTGGACTTATGCTGCAGCAAATATTCAGTTGGATTCTGGGCAATGAGGAAAGACACGTTATGTAGATGTAATACATATATGTTTGATACAAATAAAATATACATTTCTTTTATACTGCATATACTTAAAAATCAAAATACAAATTATTTAGGCATGAGACCGCTGCTAGCTGTTGGAGGTGGTGGTTATCAGTGATGGACGGTGTCTTTGACCTTAACTTCTCTTCTATAAAAGAAACCATGCTCTTGTAGAACAGGAGCCACTCTTTTGCTTCTGTGACCTCCCTGCCCCAGGCAATCTGGCATAGAATGATATGTAGCACAAGGAACAGCAGCAGAAAATAGGGATCATTGAAAATCATCCTCGCCATTTATGAATGGGAGTATCTTTGTTGTATTGAACAATGCCTTTGGATCCAAGGGAATGTTTCCAAGATCAAATGGAACAATTTATTGATTCAAAGGCAGGATGTTTATCAGATGATCTGGATTCTTTCTATGCTACATTTATTCATTCTTTTGCTATTTTTAAAGCCACTTCCTTTACCTAAATTCCTTCTATATTTTCAGAGGACATACATACTATGCAGCATCCTGCTGTGGCCCCCCTTCAAAGAATGTCATGAGTTTGTCAGCCCATTTCCTTTTATGGCCAGCTGCACAAATGACCTGTGCATGTGAGTATCTGGTGTTAAGAACTTCAGTACAGTGGTGCCTCGATCGCAGGGAAGCGATCATCACAAAGCCTCCATTTTCGGCCAGCTGATCGGCGGTTTCAAAATGGCTGCCAGGTAAACAAAATGGCCGCCCACTGTTTCAGGCACGGATTCCTCGCTTTAGAGGCACCGAAAATGGTGGCGCTATGGAGGATTTTCACTCAAAGGTGAGTTTTAAGCCCATAGGAACACATTAATCGAGTTTTATTGCGTTTCTATGGGCTTTTTTATTTCGCTTAGCGATGTTATTGCTTAGCAGCGATTTTTTAGAACAAATTAACATCGCTAAGCGAGGCACCATTGTATTATACATTGCTTATGTGTATATGATGAGAGGTACTTGTTTGTGATCTGAAGTACATGTAGGGAGTCTGAAACACATGTACATAAGGGTTCTTGTAACCTTGAATGTAGCATGTCTTAAAAGAATTGTGGCACTGCCTTGTGTGGGGTCTTTTTTTTTCAGGGTGTCAACTCAAAATAATAAAAATATACGCAACAGATTTGTGATGGATTTACACCAACATAGGTATAATTCTGTCAACTGAAGTGGTGAATTGCTGAAAATTAGTGAGTTTCTGTTTGCATTCCTTGTCACACTTCAAGTGGTACCAAGGAATCCATGTGACATTTTGTTAATTAGTAGCAATTTGGTCTCTAAAGCTTTGTTGGGGACACCCTGCTGTGCCATCAATCATCTCTACAGGTGTTTGATACACCATTTCTTTCCTCCAGTTTGCCAGAGGGAGGTCACATTTAAGTGACTAGGCTCCTTACCAAAACCTCTTTTCCTCTGAGAGGATACATTTAAGTGACTGGCTTTGGATGAAAATCTCACTGTGGAAACAGAACAAGAATATATCAGTGCATTCATACAGACCCATACCAGGACAGTGAATAAAAGTGCTCGATATTCTAAAGATTTGGGAGCATGCTGGCACACTGAAGATCATGATGAATTATATATATGTATATATATATGAAACTCCATTTCCCCAGTTGATTAATAGTAAGAAGGAAAATAAGGTTCTGTCAATTTTATTGTTTTAAAGGTCAGGAACTGATAATGCAACTTGGTGCCGAGCATTGACTGAATATGCAAGAACATGCGCTCAAGCAGGAAAACCTCTCCATGAGTGGCGGGCCCAGTTTGAGCAATGTGGTATGCAATAAAATAATAACTGTCCAGAATTCTGCCTTTCTTTTTCACTTTCATCGTTGTTATGCAATTTTACTAACTATATTGAATGCAAACTCAAACTTCTGAATGTCTGTCATCTCTAATAAATTGAACTGAGGAGTGACAGGAAGGAAATAAAGCATGTTACACTGAATTCAAAATAATATGAAAGCACTCTTTGTGGTAACAGTAGAAAAGTATTTATTTAAATACTTCTATCTCATCTTTCTCCTTAAAAGGACCGAAGTATGTATATAAAATAATACTAATAAAAAAAACCCAGACAGGAGTAGATACCTCTGCAGGTCTTCTATAATTGCATTAATCCCTCTAACTTCTATTTCTGCCCTCCCTATCAGCTTAAATGCCTAATAGATCTGCATGGAAGCCATATGCAGGGAAGGACCTGTTTGCATCTTCCCTCTTTCTCTCTGCATTGCAGATTTCACAAAAACTATATATCATGTAACCTGAAAGGCGGAACAATCATAAACTGTAATGAACTACACAAAGTGTATCCTTGCAGAAGCTTCTATGTGTAGTGTACACCATTGGTTGAGGGGTAGGACAAAAAAGATCCATTGAACTGTATAAGGATTAGTCAAAATAACACACAGTGGGAAGAATTTCATCCATAGCATATGACATTCTTTGTGGGATGTTTTCTGCAGATGATCTTCCATTTAATCAGTTGAAACTTTGAACAACATTTCAAAAATGTTGACATTGTTTATATTTCTATGATTTGTCATTGGGATGGGACATAAAAGTGCACAATGGTGGGGGGAAAAGAACCAGCTTTCATGTACCTGTCATGCTTATAGCCCATTACCTGGAGAATAAACGTAACTGAAGTCAATGGGATGTAATATCTGAGTAGATTTTTGTAGGATCATGCTGTTTAAGAGCAAGAAGTCTTGTGAAAACACAAAGGCTAGTAAGCTGTGTTGCAGAAGCTTGAGCATAGAATTCACTCTACCAAGTGCTTAAAATGAAACTAAAGTAGCTTAAGTTTTTTGATGACCAAATTTTAACACGTCTTCATCTCTTTCATTTTTTCAGTTGTTAAGTGTGAGGAACACCTTGTATACCATGAATGTATTGACTGTTGCCCAGTTTCATGCCCGCAAAAAAGTCACTGTGTTGGTAGTGAGCTTCCCTGTGTCGATGGATGTTACTGTCCAGATGGTAATGCAAGTTTTGGTGTGGGATTTTGTTAAAGCTGGAGGCCTTTCCAAATGTAAGAATGGCCGCCTTGCAACCTACAGGAGGCAGCCATGAGGCACACATTCTGTGTATGCAAAACTAGTCTTGTGGGTAGAAATTTAACACATGAGGGAGTGAAAAGGTTCACTCTGAACTGGAGGCAACTTCAAGCTGTTTAATATGAGTATGATTGAACTGTTTGTGTGTGAGGTAGATGGAATAACTTGCCATCATCCTTACCTTGTAATGTCTCTGTTGCCTCCCCTCATTGGTGCTTCAGGAAGCACTTAAAGCCCCTGTTTCATGTTAAAAGGAACTAATTTGTTTGTGCTCTAATTTAGATAATTGGAGATAACAGGAGGGGATTAGATTCTCTCTGGCATTGTTTAATATGGTACCTGTATTTTCTTTGGGTAATAAAAACAGTTTAAATATGCTTGCTGCAATGCTGTCCACTTTAACTAAGAGTACTTCATAGAGCTGGTACACCTTCAGTAATCATAGGCAGGTGTGCAATTCTGCAGTCCTACATGCGCTCAATAGTAGGTCCCACTGAAATTAAAAAGACTCAATTTGAAATAAGTAGGATTGATGTTGGGTCATAATTCCTAATAACATAGTGATATTATTTATAATGTTAACTTTTTAATAATACAGTATATTTAAGTTAATGCCACATAAATATTAGACTATCTATCTATCTATCTATCTATCTATCTATCTATCTATCTATCTATCTATCTATCTATCTATCTATCTATC